GGGGGGGGGACTCCCTCCTCTAATCAAGCTCTTGGTTTCTCAGTTTCATGCCAGCTCACTACTACATCTGAGGAAACACCACTTCAGTGTAATCAAGAAGGGACTTGTGGCAGTTTTCTGGGAACTAGCTCAGTTTGGCTTTGCTCACCAAAAAAAAAAAAAGAAAAGAAAACGGGCTCTTTTTCAGCTCCCAAACAGMTCTTCAAAGAGGCAATTTGGAGCCATTGGCCCAAATGCTGCAGTGTAGGAAAACAATCTGAAATCCCATGAATGATAAGCAATCTTGGTGCTGTTTGCCTCAAAGATGAATTTTAAAAAAGATTCTAGCTGAAAACATTCCCCACTGTGACAAGTGAAGGAAAAAAATCCTTCCTGTAAGAAAAGATGATTTAACTCTGTGAGATTTTCCTGGTAAAATAATGAAGCAACAGTAAAATAAATCAGTAAACCCATTCTATTATAAACTAATTTTTTGTACTATTATGAACTCTATTAAAATTATTTAACAATGTGGAGAGGAACACACACTTGGGTTTACGTGTTGTTCACAGATAAACAGACACAGATAAAAAGACACACAGACAGAGGGATGAGTACCGGGTATTTCCATGAAATCATCCAGGTTGGGCTGCAGTGGAGTCAGGCCTGGCTGAATAATGTCAGCATTGCTGGTGTAGGCTGAAGAGCGAAAACACAGAAAAGATGGTTAATCAACTTTTGGTCCAACACACAAAAAAGCTACATGAGTCAAATTTACTGTTACTGAGTGAAGATTTGATGTGGTTGTAGCTGAAAGTCATCCTCAACACACACTCTGAGTGCTAACAAATCTCATAAGATCTCATGGTTTCTCTTGATATTAATATAATTTCTAGTCATTTTCATCAGAATCAGTGCTGAATCTCTGGATTTTCTCACTTGCATATATAACACAAAAATTCTTGTTTCCATTTTTGAAATTTAAATAAATAAATAATTTTTGTTTCCAGACACAAATACATCCTAACTAATCTCACAGTCCACATGCCTCCCAATGGCTTGAATTGTGAAAGAGTGATTCAGGGAGCATGAGACATCCCTTTCACACGTGGACTGGCTCCACAGAGTCAATTGAGAATCTTTGGGATGTGCTGGAGAAGGCTTTGCACAGCCACTTTTTTCCAGTCTTCATGGTCTACCAAGGTCCCGGCCCACCTATACCAGGTAGGCCCGAATTTGGACACAGCCCTGGTTTTAATTGTTGCACAGGAGTATTTCCCTCCAAAGCTGAGAATGTTAAAGTCCCTGTGTATGTATGTGTATGTGCCTATCCATCAAATACAAAAAGTCAAATAAAACACATTTTTATGTAAGAAAACTTGCATAAAACATGACTTTTACCCATTTGAACACATAAACGGCATATTTACTTTTGAACTTGGATCAGCTAAAGTGAAACAGGAAGTGACATCAAAGGAGAACTATTTAAGAAAGAGAACTCTCTGGTCTTTGTTTATTGAAATTATATTATTTGAACTCTGACCCGTCTTCATCTCTCTTTGATAGTGACTCAAAATAATCTGAAGAAACATCAGATTATCTCTACAGTCTGTGTCCTTAGCCATTTTATCAATGCTCTAATCCATGCAGACGTTCCTCTTTGACATCACTTCCTGTTAATTCAAATGCAAATATCTCAAAAACTGGTCATCTCAGCAGCATGAATTTATTTTTGCAAAATGTTTTTGATGTTATCTTTCCAATAATGCCTTTTATATTTATTTAAAACACTTCATGTCACAGGCTTTCACTTTTAACACAATAAGACTTAGTCCCTTTTCAGTTTTACCTCCACAAAAGTATTCAAAACTTTTAATAATAATTTTAGTGATTTAAATCTCCAGTGACAAGTTCTGTTCAAGTGAGAAAATTCAAAATAACCTCACAGCGGCTTTAATTATTGCAAACTTGTTGTTCTAATAAAGTATATTACATGCATGATTATATTTATTTTAATCTGTTCTCATCTTTACTGAAGACATGACCCTGAGCAMGTTTTATGATTTCTGACATTTATTGTAAAATAAAATGAAACTTGCAGATAACAAAGAACTGTTAAGATAAGATAAAATAACCCACACCARTTCTCTTCGACTCTACAGATAAGAATCAGTCCGAGCCTCGGCGTGTGAACTACTCACTGTCGTGCCGCTCACTGTTCCAGGGACACGGTTTCTGTGTCATGGTGAACAGAGTGTCGGAGATGTCGGACAGAAGGCAGTCCAGGTCGAACATGTGGACCTCCGCTGGGCCGACCTCGGGCTCCTGGTGGCTCTGGTTGGACTTCTTGTCCAGCTTGGCCTGGCAGATCTGTCCCTGCAGGAAAGGAAAAGACTTGAGGAGTCTTGAAGAGTCCGTGCAGGATCCAGTCATCAGAGGGCTCCCTGAAAGCTTTGACACCACGATGATGCTTTGATGGCATCTGATTCATGAGAGGAGCTCTGTGTGTGCAAAACACACCTGGGTCACATTTCTTGTGCAGAATTGTACGATAAAGTAGTTTAAAAAATAGAACACAAAGGTTGARTAATATCTTATTCCCTTGTTAGAGACGTCTCCTACCAATCAGCCAGTCGTTTGTGGAGAGGAAGTAAAAGACTCAGAAACTGCAGCTCATCACCTGCTCCTGTCCTACACAAAGAGTTTAGTTTCACTGAGACTCTCTGCCGTCTTCACCCTCCACTCTTTTATAGGGAAGCCCAGACTGAGCCGGAAACTGCTTCGATTACGTCCGAGCAGATGACATCCCCTCTTAGACCACCGTTGTGTTTGCATGTGTGTGTGTGTTTGCATGTGTGTGTTTGGTCTATTATGAAAAAGCAGTTAAAAAACAACTAAACAAACAAACAAACTCAAGCCCCTTCCAGGTGATCATTATGTGGTTTCATTTTGACGTCTCACCATTTCAAAAACAGTGGCAGTCTTTTGTCCCTGACCTAATTCTGGGAGTCACACACACGTGAACGCAAAGAGGAAGACCTGAGCTTCAGCCAGAACTGCACCGATCGGAACAAAACCTTTCTTACTTCCGATGATGAGTATTTACATTTTTAAAGGGTTCCCTGAAACTGGGCAGTATATCACAATTGATAATGCTGGTAAAATAAAGGTTTAAACAAAAAAAACATTTATATATTAGTTCCATCTTGGGACCCGTCTCCACTAATTTTGACTTTTTTTATATACAAATTTCCACTGGTGGGCATGGCTCCACTAGGTTTCCCAGTTCGGCCATTTCAAAATGCAGGACAGCTCTTTTGGGGGCGGGGCTAATGCTTCAGTTTTGACGCCACCGTGTTTCTTATTTCCCCAATATTTCAGTTGCATCCAACTAAACAAGATTTAATCATGTTTCTGTTATTTCATGTAACTAGATAAGGATTTACATCAAACTGCATTTTTATTATAATTACAAAATTAATTTGTTAACTTTTCAGCTGCTGGTGGCTTCAGTGAACAGAAGGATAAAGAAATTTAAATATAAACATGAATGTTGTGATTTTTCTTATTTATTTTTGAAGCATTTACCACTTCAGAAAAGAACTGCTCAAGGACACACTTATATGTATATGTATATGTATGTATATGTATGTATATATGTATAACACTTATATCCATCCATCCATCCATTTTCTTCYGCCTATCCGGGGTCGGGTCGCGGGGGCAGCAGCTTCAGAAGGGAGGCCCAGACCTCC